TTTTTTTTTGAGATGGAGTCTTGCTCTGTTGCTACCTGGAAAAGAATGGCGCGATCTCGGCTCACTGCAACCTCCACCTCCCGGGTTCAAGCATTTCTCCTGCCTCAGCCTCCTGAGTAGCTGGGATTACATGAGTGCACCACCACGTCAAGCTAATTTTTGTATTTTTAAGTAGAGCAGGGTTTTACTATGTTGGCTAGGATGGTCTTGATCTCCTGATCTGCCCACCTTGGCCTTCCAGAGTGCTGGGATTACAGGCGTGAGCCACTGTGCCCGGCTGGCATTTAGTTTTATAAGGGAAGCAATGCATAAAAGTTCAGAAAATTTGCAGACTGACAATGTGATAAAAAAGAAAATCCTGGCCAGGTGTGGTGGCTCATGCCTGTAATCCCAGCACTTTGGGAGGCCAAGGCAGGTGGATTACCTGAGGTTGGGAGTTCAAGACCAGTCTGACCAACACATGGAGCAACAATGTCTCTACTAAAAATAGAAAATTAGCTGGGCTTGGTGGCGCATGCCTGTAGTCCCAGCCACTTGGGAGGCTGAGGCATGAGAATTACTTGAACCTGGGAGGTGAAGGTTGTGGTGAGCTGAGTTTGCACCACTGTACTCCAGCCTGGGCAACAAGAGCGAAACTCCATCTCAAAACAAAAAACAAACAAAAAAAGAAAATCCCATTTTCTGAGGAGAAATTCAAGCTGGCTGCAGAAATTTGCATAAGCAATGAGGAGCTGAATGTTAATCACCAAGACAATGGGGAAAGTCTTCAGGGCATGTGAGAGGTCTTCATCATACCCGCTCCCCTACTCCACCATTCACAGGCCTGGAGGCTTAAGAGGAAAAAGTGGTTTTGTGGGCTGGGCCCAGGGTCTCCATGCTGGTTGCAGCCTAGGGACTTGGTGCTGTACGTCCCAGCTGCTCAGCCATGACTGAAGGGGGCCAATGTACAGCTTGGGCCATACAGAGGGTGTACGCCTCAAGCTTTGGCAGCTTTCACATGGTGTGCACAGAAGTCAAAATTGAGGTTTGGGAACCTCTGCCTAGACTTCAGAGGATGCATGAAAATACCTGGATGTCCAGGTAGAAGTTTGCTGCAGGGGCAGGGCTCTCATGGAGAACCTCGGCTAGGGCAGTATGGAAAAGAAATGTGGGGTTGGAGTCCCTACGAAGAGTCCCTACTGGGGCACCACTTAGTGGAGCTGAGAGAAGAGGGCCACTGTCCTCCAGACCCCAGAATGGTAGATCCACTGACAGCTTGCACCATGTGCCTTGAAAAATCACAGACACTCAACACCATCCTGTGAAAGCAGCTGGGAGGGAGGCTGGGAGGTAAAGTCACAGGGGTGGAGCTGCCCAAGACTATGGGAACCCACCTCTTGCATCAGCATGACCTGGATGTGAAACATGGAGTCAAAAGAGGTCATTTTGGAGCGTTAAGATTTGACTACCCCACTCAATTTCAGACTTGTAAGTGGCCTGTAGCCCCTTTGTTTTGGCCAATTTTTCTCATTTGAAACGGCTGTATTTACCCAGTGCCCATGCCCCTATTGTAGCTTGGAAGTAACTTACCTGCTTTTGATTTTACAGGCTCACAGATGGAAGTGACTTGCCTTATCTCAGATGAAATGTTGAACTGTGGAGTTTTGAGTTAAAGCTGAAATAAGACTTTGGGGGACTGTTAGGAAGGCATGATTGGTTTTGAAATGTGAGGACATGAAATTTGGGAGGGGCCAGGGGAAGAATGATATGGTTTGGCTGTGTCTCCACCCAAATCTCACTGTGAATTGTAACTCCCACAATTCCCACATGTTGTGAAAGAAACCCGGTGGGAGGTGATTGAATTATGGGGTCAGGTCTTTCCTGGGCTCTTCTCGTGATAGTGAATATGTCCCACGAGATCTGATTCTTTTAAAAATGGGAGTTTCCTCTGGGCATGGTGGCTCACGGTTTTGTAATCCCAGCACTTTGGGAAGCCGAGGCAGGCAGATCACGAGGTCAAGCGATCGAGACCATCCTGGCCAACATGGTGAAGCCCTGTCTCCACAAAAATACAAAAATTGGCTGGGCGTGCTGGCATGCGCCTGTAGTCCCAGCTATGTGGGAGGCTGAGGCAGGAGAATCACTTGAACCCAGGAGGCAGAGGTTTCAGTGAGCCAAGATCCTACCACTGCACTCCAGCCTGGTGACAGTGCAAGACTCTGTCTCAAAAACAAACATACAAACAAAAAACAGGAGTTTCCCTGCACAAGCTCTCTCTTTGCCTGCCACCATCCACATAAGATATGACTTGCTCCTCCTTGCCTTTTGCCATGATTGTGAGGCCACCCCAGCCGTGTGGAACTGTAAATCCATTAAACCTCTTTTTCTTCCCAGTCTCGGTCGGGTATTTCTTTATCAGCAGCGTGAAAATGGACTAATACAGTATCTAAGACTTAAAAAAAAATTTAAGGTGAAATTTACATAACACAAAGTCAACCATTTTAAAACGTACAATACAGTGGCATTTAGTAAATTCACAATGTTATGCAACTACCCCACCTTTATCAAGTTCCAAAATAGTTTCATCACTCCCTGCAAAAAAACTCTGTATCCATTAAGCAGTTATTTTTCATTTTCCCCCTAGACCCTGGAAACCACAGGAACATTAACTTTTAAGTTATTCTAAGGAATTTTAAAGTCATAAAGTAGATATTAAAACAGACAGATTTTAGATGGCTGTGCAACTGCTTCCAGTCATACAGAAAAGAGTTTTTTTCAATAATCTCAATTCCAGTTTTTATTAGCCATTTTATGTACATTGATACCAAGTCCTGAAAACTGATAAAAACATGTCCAGAATTCTTTTTTTCCTTTTCTGAGAAAGGGTCTTGACCTCTCACCCAGGATGGAGTGTAGTGGTGCAATCACAGCTCACTGCAGCCTCAATCTCCCAGCCTCAAGTGATCCCCCCATGTCAGTCTCCTGAATAGCTGGGACTACAGGCACATGCCATTACACCTAACTAATTTTTTTATTTTGTGTAGAGATGAGGGCTCACTATGTTGCCCAGGTTAGTCTTGAACTCCTGGACTGAAGTGATCCTCCTGCCTCGGCCTCCCAAAGTGTTGGGATTATAGGCATGAGCCACAGGACCCGGCCCGTGGTTTCTTATACAGTCAATGTACAAATGCTCATTTATATTTTGCACAATAATGAAGATAAAAATAACAATTACAGCAACATACAAATATGTACAAGGATTCAAGACAGACTTTGTTTTTTGGCTTATAACAATGTGTAGATACTACACAAAGAATGAGGATGTAATTTTCATTTACAAGCAAAATGTGACCAAAATCCCTTTTCTTCTTAAAATTGAAAAATGAAATTCTTGAGAATACTAATTAGTGACAGCCAAATCTGACTATTTTAAATTAGCCATGGTTAAACATAGGTGAGTTAAACATTGTGCCTTTCCAAAATTAACGTTTGCAGTTAGAAACATAAACATTTGATAAAACTTCTCAAAATTAATTATAAGTGGCTTTTTCATGTTCTCTGGATTCCAGACACATACTAGAAAAAGTAAATGTAAAAGAGGTGATATTTTGGAAAGCATCCCTAGTACTGAAAAGCATCCCTAGCACTGAAAAAAGCATCCCTAATACTGAAAAGCATCCCTAGTATGGAAAAACACCTTCAGGAGTACCCAGTGGTACACTAGCAGGAAACTCATGATGTACTAAAAATACTGAGAACAAAGCGGGGGAAGTAATAAGCAGCTATTTTACTGATGTATTAAATATACTGGAATTATGAGGCATAAGATGATATTTATGTGGTTTTTAAAAGGTTTAAAGGCCGGGCGCGGTGGCTCAAGCCTGTAATCCCAGCACTTTGGGAGGCCATCGAGACCATCCTGGCTAACACAGTGAAACCCCGTCTCTACTAAAAAACACACAAAAAACTAGCCGGGCGAGCTGGTAGGTGCCTGTGGTCCCAGCTACTCGGGAGGCTGAGGCAGGAGAATGGCGTGAACCCGGGAGGCGGAGCTTGCAGTGAGCTGAGATCCGGCCACTGTACTCCAGCCTGGGCGACAGAGCGAGACTCCGTCTCAAAAAAATAAAAAAATAAAAAAAAATAAAAATAAAAATAAAAGGTTTAAAATATTCTTAGGGACTCAATTAGATATTGAGAATGACTGATACTATGATCTCAAAAATAGTATAACACACATAATCATGGTGTTACCTTACTAACAGGAATTTAGTTTTTAATAACTAACTGAATTTTATTCTACTGGCTTGAGAAGCAGCTGCCTATTTTGAGAACTACATGAGTTAGTATGATCATATATAATTAAGTTAATGTCACAGAAACCAAAATGATAATAGTTTACAAAAGAAGAAAGTGCCCATTTATTGGGTTGTGACATCAGGCTGAGATGGCTTAGGGCTGGAAAGCAAGGATGAGTGTAGCATTGGGGCTCAGGTACAAATCTGTTTATAAAGCTCAAGGAGAGAAAAGGCACGAGAAGGAGACAACCCTGAATGGTGGTGGCACCTGGATGTGGAATTACCACAGTGGGCCAGAGATAGGCTGGTACATAACCCTCTGGCCAGGTAGTATGGGAACCAACCCCTTCCTTCAATATTAAAATGAGAATACAAATATCTCAAAGCATGCTTACCAAAAGTAGATTATTTATCCTCATATTACAAAACACAGGAGGAGGAGACATTTATTTTTAAAAGAGAGTTAAAAAGTTATGGGGTTTCTCCTAATTTCAACTTGAAAACTAACTTAAGGAGCAAACATTAAAAAAAAATCCCTATTAATATATACATATTTTTGAGATGGAGTTTTACTCTTGTTGCCCAGGCTGAAGTGCAGTGGCGCAACCTAGGCTCACCACAACCTCCGCTTCCTGGGTTCAAGCAATTCTGCCTCAGCCTCCCAAGTAGCTGGGATTACAGGCATGTGCCACCACACCTGGCTAATTTTAGTAGAGATGGGGTTTCTCCATGTTGGTCAGGCTAGTCTCAAACTCCCGACCTCAGGTGATCTGCCCGCCTTGGCCTCCCAAAGTCCTGGGATTACAGGCGTGAGCCACTGCATCTAGCCGGACTATTAGCATTTTTAAAAGGCACTTAAAATATTCCTTTCCAGTCCAACTCAAAATACATCTCTGTCAATTACATTTTGGATAAATATTTTAAAAAGCACATTTTTGTGCAATTTTTTTCTTATAATCCAGCAATATTTACCATCCATAGGGCTAAAAGGTTTGAAGGACAGAGCTCCAACTTTCTGCAAAACAATCTGAAAGTGCTTTTATCATAGAAACAAGAACATTAATGATTTGCTCTTTCACTGACAACATCCTGTAGTCGTTTCAGTAAAACATCATCATTTTCTTGACAGACGCGTTTGGCAGGGGATTCTGCATCACTATCGATGGCTATTACTCGCTTCTTGGTTCTCTGCTCACCTTGCCTTATCATGTTGTTGATCTCTTTCAAACTCTGTGCAGAAATAGAAAACGTGTGTGAGTAAAAGAGGGAGAAGGGAAATGGCAGCAAACAACCAAGCGAATTGTTTTTTCCTGTGTTCTATCCTCTATCCAAATCTTCACACTGGGATAAGGATTCTTTTTAAAACTTAGAACAACCTCATAAGGGATGGCTTGAACTAATCTTTTCAGGTGGTTTAAAAATTAGATTTAAGGCCAGGTGTGGTGGCCTGTAATACCAGCACTTTGGGAGGCCAAGATGGTTCAATCACTTGAGCCCAGGAGTTTGAGATCAGCCTGGGCAACATGGCAAACCTGGTCTCTACAAAAAATACAAAAATTAGGCAGGTGTGGTGGCTTGTGCCTGTAGTCTCAGCTACTCGGGAGGCTAAGGAGCATCACCTGAGCCTGGGGAGGTTGCGGCTGCAGTAAGCAGTGATCATGCCACTGTACTCCAGCTTGGGAAACAGAGTGAGACCCTGTCTCAAAAACAAAACCAAAACAACTGAATTTACTGTATAATAGTAGTTCTCGATGTGTAGTACCCAGACCAGAAGCAGAAGCATCTATAATTTTTTTATTTTTTGAGACAGGTTCTCTCTCTGTTGCCCAGGCTGGAGTGCAGGGCATGATCTTGGCTCACTGCAAGCTCCGCCTCCTGGGCTCAAGCTATTCTCCTGCCTCAGCCTCCCTAGCTGGGACTACAGGCACATGCCACCATGCCTGGCTATTTTTTTGTATTTTTAGTAGAGACAGGATTTTGTCATGTTGGCCAGGCTGGTCTTGAACTCCCAGCCTCAAGTGATCCCCCAACCTTGGCCTCCCAAAGTGCTGGGATTACAGGGGTGAGCCACCGTGCCTGGCCTTATCTGGTTTTTTTTTTGTTTGTTTTTGAGATGAAGTCTTGTTCTTGTCGCCCAGGCTGGAGTGCAATGGCACGATCTCGGCTCACTGCAACCTCTGCCTACTGGGTTCAAGCGATTCTCCTGCCTCAGCCTCCTGAGTAGCTGGGATTATAGGTGCCCATCACCATGTCTGGCTAATTTTTGTATTTTTAGTAGAGACGGGGTTTTGCCATGTTGGCCAGGCTGGTCTTGAACTCCTGATCTCGTGATCTGCCTGCCTCGGCCTCCCAAAGTGCTGGGATTACAGGCGTGAGCCACTGCGACCAGCCCTAATCTGTTTTAACAAGCCCTCCCAATGATTTTAAAGCTCCCTACAGTTTGAGATCCTCTTCCTTAGAGTAATGCTTTTCAATTTTTTTTTTTTTTTGAGACAGAGTCTTGTTCTGTCGCCCAGGCTGGAGTGAAAAAGGGGTGATCTTGGCTCACTGCAACCTCCGCCTCCTGGGCTCAAGCGATTCTCCTGCCTCAGCCTCCTGAGAGAGTAGCTGAGATTACAGGTGCGGACCATCATGCCTGGCTAATTTTTTGTATTTTTAGTAGAGATGGGGTTTCGCCATGTTGCCCAGGCTGGTCTTGAACTCCTGAGATCAGGCAATCCGCCTGCCTTGGCCTCCCAAAGTGCTAGGATTATAGGCTTGAGCCACTGTGTCCAGTCAGGTATATTATCTTAGCCAACTTTGTCAAGTATAGTGAGAACTCTGTAGGCATCTGTATAACTTAATAGGAAAGTAATAAGAAGGAGCCAAATGTATTTGGACTGAATTACAATATGCCCCACTACAATTTCTTCCAGTTTATACTGATTCTGACTTCTGGAGACATACTGAACAGATCTGCTTGACAGTCCATGAAGTATCTGAAAACAGCAATCATGTCCATATCACATCTTCACCATTCAACAAGGATAAGGATGGAGATGATCACAGAGTTGTCTATGTACATAAGAGGAGGCTTGTGTTTTCAGACATCTTCCTATCTTGGGTGCCATCTACCAAATGCACTTTCACTTCCAATGCCTTTCTTTCAACTTGACATCCCCCAGGTCTGACCACTTGCAGATGTTGCTTTACTGGTCCCTTCTCAAGATCTTGCTTGAACAGGAAAACATGCTGGACTTTCAAAATGAACTCCGCAAATACCATGTCAATAATAATGGATTAAACTACCTCAAACTGAATATACTGCTCTTGATGAGAGGAGACATGCCATAGTTAACATTTCATATTTTATTAGTATAGTAGAAACTTGGCCAAAAACAAAAAAAGAGGCAAGATTAACAGTTACTGTTAATGTGAAATCCAACTTTTAGCCTATTCACCTTACCTTAGAAGGGCTGCCATTGAACTTGTACAGCAGAGCGCTTCTTGGTGTAAGGCCTGACCCATTCTTGTGTGGGGAAATATAAATGGAGTGCTGTTGGGAAATGCGGCGTGGTGAGCCTGGCTGTTGTTTAATATGTGGAAAAGGAGAGAGTGGTGGAGCATCCATCTAAAATAACCCAAAAGTCAGATTTTTTAGATAAAAGTTTTTCTTTGTTTTTGAATCCCATATTTTTATTTTTATGATATCTCCTAGTTAGGAATCAGTTATACTATAAAAGCTCATTTATGGTTGAGAAAAGCAAAAAAAAAAAGATCTGTTACTTCTTTTTTTTTACAACAACAGATAAAGTAGAATTTATTTTCTTGGATCTTTTTTTTTTTTTTGAGATGAAGTATCTCTCGCTCTTGTTGCCCAGGCTAGAGTAAGATGGTGCAATCTAGGCTCACTGCAACCTCTGCCTCCCAGGTTCAAGCGATTCTCCTGCCTCAACCTCCCAAGTAGCTGAGATTACAGGCATGTGCCAACACGCCCAGCTAATTTTGTATTTTTAATAGAGATGACCATCTTGGCCAGGCTGGTCTCCAACTCCTGACCTCAGGTGATCCACCCACCTCGGCCTCCCAAAGTGCTGGGATTACAGGTGTGAGCCACTATGCCCTGCCTATTTTCCTGGATCTTTCAGGAAGTCCTATAACTAGTATTAAGAATTCTGGCCGGGTGTGGTGGCTCACACCTGTAATCCCAGCACTTTGGGAGGCCGAGGTGGGTGGATCACCTGAGGTCAGGAGTTTGAGACCAGCGTGGCCAGCATGGTGAGCACTCCTGTCATCCACTCAAAAATGGCAAAATTAGCATGTGAGGCCGATGTGGTGGCACATGCTGTAATATGAAGCTATTGCGGGAGGGCTGAGGCCAGCTGATATTGGCTTGAACCCGCGGGG